CCTGATACACAGCGATGTGTTTGGCCCCATACTTGTAGCATCACATAAAAATCAAGGTATTACATTTTTTTTACTGATTTTTTAAGATATGTGTGGTTATATTTCTTGCACAGCAAGGATGAAGTGTTTGATAAATTTCGCGAGTTCAAGGCCTTGGTGAAAAATCAGTTTGACCAAAAAATCAAGGTGTGGAGAACTGATAATAGAGGAGAGTTATGTTCAACAAAGTTCGATCAGTTCTATGTGAGCAATAGGATTGCAAGGCAGAAGACTATGCCTTACTCACCTCAACAGAATGAGGTGGCAGAGAGATTGAATCGATCTCTCATGGAGAAAGCATGGAGTATTCTGAGCGGTGCAGGCTTGTTAGTTGAGTTTTAGACGAAGGCAATGACTATTGCTTGTTATTTGAAGAACATATCTCCTACACCGGCCTTGAAGGAGAAAACTACGTATGAAGCACTATTTGGGAAGAGGTCAGACATATCTTATGTCAGAGTGTTTGTTTGGCTGTGAGGCATATGCGCACGTACTCAAGGAGAAAAGAAGCAAGCTTAACAGTAAATCAGAGAGGTGTATCTTTATTGGGTGCAAGGATGGTGTCAAAGGGTATAAGTTGTGGAATCATATTACTTGAAGTGTATCTTACAACAGAAAGATGAAGTGTTGAGAAAATCTAAGCCGAATGAGATAAGTATATTAATATCGTAACTTTTGAGATAACTATTCATAATCAATAATATCGTAACTTTTGAAATGGTTGAGCTTCCAAGTCATTCACTGTTTGATGCATAAGTATATTAATTTTTTTTATGCAAGTAAAAATTGAATACATGATCGAATATAATCTATCCAAATCGCTCATCGTTAGACTAAATCTAATGGCTTTTTTTATGTATAATGTTAAAATTTCTAGTATACGTAATATAAGGGTTCGCTTTTTCTGCAATTACTCCAGATAAATTATCTACAGTAAGCTCAATACGACGTCGTTTTGGGATGAAAATCATGGTATTTTTATAATTTTAATTTATTTCAGGGTTATTATAGTCTTTATAATTATAATTTTTTAATCTTTCATTCCCAAAATGATGTCGTTTTGGAAGTAAATGCAGATAACTTATATGCATTAACTGCAGAAATATTTTTCTGATAATATAAATAACAAAATATTGGTTTTTATAAAAGGGAGTTATTAATCTTATGTCACATAAGATAGGTATCTTATATAGGTGAAACAAAGTTGTGAGGTCTATAATTTTAAAAAAAGAAAAAAGAAAAAAAAATGGGCACAAGATTCCATGAGTGTGCAATATAAGATAGTTATCTTATGTGACATAAGATAGTTATCTTACGTTGTAGAGAGAAAATAGGTGGGTCTCACCGTTACAAGAAAAAAGAAAAAAAAGAAAAATATGGGATACGAAAATCGGAGTGAGAGAAAATGAGAGATAATATCTTATGTAAAAGGATAGTAATATTTTCCAACATATATACTATATTACCAAAAAAAAAAAACTTTCCATACATTTGTTATGATATGTTCTTTATATAACTTTGAATATATTTATAAATTTTTCATATATTAATCAAATGTTATTGTATAAAATTTTATGAGTAAATAAAATTACTTTGAAGATATAAATGGTAGGTTAAAAGTAAAAGTAAAATTTAAAAATATTAAAATTAATTAAATGTGTTATTCTTAAAGTGCAAAAAGTAGGTTAAGAAAAATATGAATCACATATCTATAGAATATAAATCACGGTTTCAAGTTTCAACTATTAAAAAGTAAGTGATAATTTCTAATTTAATAAAATGAGACACATGATAAAATTTCTTTTTGGTATTTTTTTTCTAGGAAAAATTTTATTTTCATCTATTGTGATTTTATGATTTATCATTTTACCTCTTGTGGTTTAAATTTGTCATTTAGACTCATTGTGGTTAAATAATTTATTGTTTAATCTCTTGTGATTTTAAATTTTAGCTTACACACATCGTGATTATAAAAATCTATCACTTAAACCTTGTGGTCTTATATATACATAATTTGTTTTTATTTTTCTCAATTTTTATCTTATATTATTATCATATTATAAATTAAAATTATTTACCAAAAAATATAAATTATTTATTTAAATTTAAATCAATTTTAGTTAATAATAATATCAATTATATCCTTATAATTTTATACATATAAGATTTTTTATTTTCCCTCTTTTTTATTTTATATCATTTAAGGCAAAAAATAAAAATAGAAATTAAATAATTCACTTATTTTTATAATGAAAATAAATTCAAATCAAATATTATTTTATTTTATCTATTTTTTTACCCGATGTCATTATAAAATTATCTAAAGAAAGTAAAAATCTTATTTTGAGATAATACATATTTAATTTATCCTAAATAAAATTTTTAATTTTTAAATATATTTTTAAAATGAATAAAAAATTAAGATAATTAATTAATTAATTTTAAAATAAATAAATTGAAATATTTTTAAATTTAATATTTAATTATTAATTTTATTTGATAATATCATAGTTATATAAAATAAAATTTTAAAAAAGTAAATATTTTTATATTTATAAGACTACAAGGGTTTTAAGTGATATATTTTTGTAATCACAATAAATATAAGTAAAATTTGAAATCATGAAAATTAAATAATAAATTATTTAAACACAATAAATCTAAGTAACAAATTTAACCATAAAGAATCAAGTAATAAATTGTAAAATTACTGTGGGTGAAAATAAAATTTTCTTACAAACATAAAAATATTCAATTCGCGAAATAAAACATGTAATAAAGTTGTCCTTTTAAATGTTAAAGCAAGAAAGGACATTGTTGCTAGGTAGGCTGACCTAGATGAATCAGATGCTGCAAGCTCGTTTTGTGTACAGGTGCAGCCCATGCACTTATTCGTACAGTTCCACCCCTATAAAATAATAAAAATACTGTAACCAATTCGTAAAATATTACATGTCAATATGAAATATCGCATTTAAATACAAAAATAAAATAACCCTGTTGTCACTTGTCACATGACCGCGATTAGCGCACGGTTCCACCTGTGCTATGCCAGCTTTTCAGGCACCATCTCACCTCCACCGGACCAACTCACCTCCACCAACTCACCTTCACCGGACCCAACTCACCTGTTGCATGAGAGTAGTTCTCTCATGCTACAGAGAGAATCAAACTGGAGTTCATTATTAAAAAACAAAACAAAAAGGAAAAAAAAGAAAGGGTACAATTTTTGAAGGGAGACAAAATAAAATAACTATCTCATGTAAAATGAGAGTATTATTTCTCATTATATAAATATAATACAATTTCTATATTTCAACCTTCGTATGGTATTGTACATTTTATATTAGTTTGATTGATTTGTTAATTTTTCGGAACATTCATATTTTGTAAACGAGAGATTAATTTCTTAAAATATGGTGAGACTATAATGTAAACAAACAATTTTAATAATAAACCTGAAAATTATATATTTAAGGATCACACTCCTTTCATTTGTATAAAAACACTTTGATATTTTATCATATATTAATAATTATTTATGTAAGTAGAAAGCAATTTATTTTTATTTTATTTTTCTTTGTTTTAGATCTTTAAATTGAGAAAATAGTGGCCAAGAGAAATTTGAGTTCGATAGAATGAATCCCCTCATATCTTTTTTTAATAGGATTATCACATTGAAAAATTTAATTATTTATTAATAAATTGATAGTTAAAATTTTAATGACAAAATTCATAGTATGATTAAAAATTTTAATGTGACCACATTTAAAAAGATAATGACAAGATTCATTTCTAAGTCGGATAAAATAACGAAGAAATAAAAATTTATTTTTATAAAAAAAGAGATATCACCAAATATATATATATATATATATTGATTCAATTAACATGATATTGTTCCCCTTTAATTAATGATCTCGGATAATTTTAACTTAATAAATGATTTCAAATTCAAATCCTAAGTATATATTTCATACAGAAAATTTTAGTATCCTTATAATCCTGACAAATTAATTGAATAATGGGTCAGAATTATGTGGAAGATTATATTTAGAACCTATTTTTGTTTACAATCTCTTACAGTTATATCTTAACCATTGATTTTCGTCAATTAACGGTTATCATTTATTATGAATTAATAAATTGAATTTGCCAAAATTTTAACTGTTAGTTAACGGAAATCAACGGTTAAGATATAGTTATAAGAAATTGTAAACTAATAATATAGGCTGTAAGAATAACCTTTTTTCAGAACTATTTTACACTAATATAAATTACACTTAATCTTAATTTTTTATTCCATTTATATTTAAACAGTTGTGATATATTAAATATTTAAACCGTTAGATTCAAATAAATTAATAATCAAAATTTAATATAAAATTTATTAATTTTATATTACGGTAAGAATATCTGACGCTTGAATAATTAATGAAACAATCATGTAATAAAAAAAAAAATTAATGAAACCAGGAAAAAAATAAAAATAAGGGCAGATAGGAGGTGACACCGAAAGCGTGCGTAACGGCCGCACATGATCTGGTGAAGTGAGAGTTTGACACAGAGGACAGGACAAAAGGTCCGAAAGAGTATCCCGTATTTCCATAGCGGACCCCACCTCCACCCATCGCATCATTTTTCTCTAAAATTTTTTCTAACCTCGCTGCGCTGAAACGCGCCCCCTCCTCTATATGCAATACAATACAATACAAGTGCAAAGCAAAACCTTTCACGTCCACGTATCACGTTCACAAGAAGCCAACACCAATCGCGCCCTGTCATGTGACTATGCGGCATCTTCCAAAGTGAACACCACCACCCTCTCTTCTCTTCTCTTTCGCATCGCACTCCTTTCTCCATCACCACCACCTTTTCAAACCTTAAAATTTCCATTTCATTCATTCATTATATATTATTATTATTATTGTATAATTTTTATTAATTATTATTGACGTTGAATGGAATCATCGGACAAAGCAACCTTTGGTGCTGCTGTCCTTGGCACCTGTACCAGACCCTCATGGGCCCTCTTGTTTCTCTTGTTCACTCTCGTGACCGTTCTGTCCCTTCAGCTTCCAACAAGGTCCGTTTTCCCCGTTTGGGTGTTTTCGGGTTTGTCCGGACCCCAACCCATGCCCGATCCGATAACCTGCTCCGGTTTCTTTCGGGATGTTCCGCGGAGGAAGGTTGTTATGTCCATCGAGGACTTCGGCGGCGTAGGTGACGGGATCACTTCCAATACCGAATCGTTTCGGAGGGCGATTCGGTACATGCAGCGTTTCTGTGATCGAGGTGGGTCCCAGCTGAATATCCCAAGGGGAACCTGGCTTACCGGTAGTTTTAATCTCACCAGTAACTTCACGCTTTTCCTTCAACACGGTGCTCTTATTTTGGCCTCTCAGGTATCAACCATTTTTCTTTTTTCTTTTTTCTTTTTTTCTTTACGTTCTTTTTCCTTTTCTTGCTTTTCAGTTTTTTTTTTTTTTTTTTTTTTTGGTTCTTTATTTCATGTCCTTTGTTTCTTCTTCTTAAATTCCATCTGGTTTATGTATCTATAACTCTACTCTAAACTTGCAAATTTATATATTCGTGTTTGAATTATTATTATTTTTCTTCCTTGTCAATAAAAGTTATGTTTTCATATGAAAATTACTAAAAACTGCTTCAATTGAATGAGGCGTGAGTATCCAGATGCAACTTGGGTTCTGCGTGTGATTTCGATTTTATGAAAATAAAATAAAAAAAAGTCCCTTAAAATATTAAACAAAAATCAAAGAAAATTGTAGTTTTTCTGGATGTTTCTTCCGAAAAGTGGTTGGCTTTTTGACTTTTTTTGGCTACATATGGCACAATTTTTGCTACATGGAACCGACCAAAGAATGCATGTTTAGTACTTTGTGATTTTTGTTTATTCTGTAGACTACCTTTATGTTAATTATACTTTTGGCAATTTCATTGAAAGTATGATTTTTTTTTATTAATTTAAAGTTTCAATTCACATTCACAGGACCAGAACGAATGGCCTATAATTGAACCATTGCCATCTTATGGAAGAGGGAGAGAGAGGTTAGGAGGAAGGCATATTAGCCTTATACACGGTAATGGCATCTGCAATGTTGTCATCACAGGTAAAACTTGTGGGGTTTTTTCCCCTTTCCTTAAATTCCTTTGGTGTAACAACAAATTAATAGAAGAGGAAGAGAAAACAAAAAAGTAAAATAAAATAGAATTTCTCCTTGTTTTGAACAATGTTGGGAAAGTATATGAGACAATGAAGTGAGGTTACATATTTAACTGCTATTTTTAAAAGTTTCAAATGATTCCATTATAAGGGAAAAAGTCAAGAAATTATTTAGTTCAATTATATGGTTCACATATTATTCGTAGGCATTTAATTAGTTATCTGGTTTTGTAGGAGAAAATGGGACAGTTGATGGTCAAGGAAAGATGTGGTGGGAACTTTGGTGGAACAGAACATTGGAGCACACAAGAGGCCACCTCCTTGAACTAATGAACTCGGATAATGTTCTTATAACAAACCTCACCTTTCGAAATTCTCCTTTTTGGACCATACATCCTGTTTACTGCAGGTTTAAACTTTTTGCCTAATTGTCTCTTCTATAACACTGGGACTTTAAATGCAGCTAATTAATGATTTTGTCAAAGGATGAGGAGTATTTTCTGAACACACTCTGAAAAGCTTTTAGTGACTTTTGGGAAACTATTAACCCATAATTCATTTCTATTTATACCCCCCTTTTTTTGAAAAAAAAAATTATTGTGCACAATTGTGTCCTGTCTGATTATAGGTGTTGGATTCATGTTGAAAGAAACTCAATTTAATCATACCTTGTTTTTATTAGCTTTTGTAACCACAGATTTAATAATCAGCTGTGTTTTATTTCAGTAATGTTGTTATCAAAGGGATGACAATCTTGGCTCCTCTTAATGCCCCAAATACTGATGGCATAGACCCAGGTTTGTCTTTTGTTACTATTTATCGTCTTTTCTTGCATTCTGTTATCATGCTTGGCTTTGGGCTTCTTATGCATAAAATAAAGTGGGCAAATGGAAGACATGAATATCATTATAGTCTCTTACAAGTGTTCCTTTCTGATGATACAGACTCAAGTACCAATGTATGTATTGAAGATAACTACATAGAGAGTGGAGATGATCTTGTAGCCATTAAGAGTGGCTGGGATCAATATGGAATCACCATGGCCCGTCCTAGCACAAATATCATAGTGAGAAGAGTTTCTGGCACTACCCCAACTTGTTCTGGAGTAGGAATTGGTAGTGAGATGTCTGGTGGAATTTCAAATATTACAATTGAGAATTTGCATGTGTGGGATTCTGCAGCTGGTGTTCGCATAAAATCTGATAAAGGAAGAGGGGGCTATATATCTAATGTTAGTATAAGTGATATTAGAATGGAGAGAGTGAAGATTCCCATTAGGTTCAGTAGAGGTTCAAACGACCATCCTGATGATGGGTGGGATCCAAAAGCAGTTCCTAGATTGAAAGATATTTTAATCAGTAAAGTTGTCAGTGTGAATTCAACAAAAGCCCCAGTTTTGGAAGGTGTAGAGGGTTCATCATTTGAAGGTTTATGCTTCAAAAACATTACCCTGGTTGGTATAGCCTTATCTGCAACATGGCATTGTGAATATGTCTCTGGTTTTGCCACTGAGGTGTTCCCTGTTCCATGTCCTGAGTTGCAGAACAATAGCAATTCATCCTGGTGTTCACCTTCCTGATTTACTGTGTGCATACCGTGGATGGTTCCAAGTTCCAAAATGGAAAAACCAGGGCTTTGCTCACTTTCTTGATTAAGCAGTTTTGAGTCTTGCTTAAGCAGATTATTGTGATGAGCAAAATCATAAACACAAAAGAGCTGGACCTAATTGGACTCGTGAAGCCCGAATTAACATGACATCTTTCTGCCTCGGATGGCACGGACATATAATCTGATCGGTTTCAGGTTTGTGATAGGAATGTGAATAGAACCATTTGATTGATATCATGGCCCTTCTCGCCATGATTGGTGCCTTGGTGGCCATAGAATGTGGAGTTGCACTTTGGTTTGCTTAGCAGTGCAACCAATGATTCTTTTGCTTTACTTTAAGATATAGTTTTCTTTAAAGTTATTTTTTACTGTTGTATAGACAGGTTATCCACTGGGAGACAGCCCAAAGTTGAATATAGATTGAACTCTAATAATGTAGAAAACAATTTTGAATCAGATCAAGTCTTTTTTTTTTTAAAAAAAAAAAAAATACTGAAAACTCATGCGAAAATAATTTATTATAGCCTAGGTCGCATGATTCATGTTATTTGTTATTGGCATCGATTTGCACTGAACTGGCGCTATTAACGGGCATGAATAAGGGCAGGAAATTATTAAGATAGTGCAAGGGATATAGTATAAGGGATTAGAATAAGGCCCGGAAAATATTGTATTATTCATCATTTGTTTGTGCACAAAGAATATTTAACATAATAGAGAAAAATTAGATAAAAATTCCTTTTTAGGTGATGATGGTGGTATTGAAAAATGAAAATTGAAATGTTGGGTTGTGAATACTGGTGGTCACTGTGGCAATAGTAGGGTGATAAGCCAGTCATAAGCAGTAGGGTATCGTGGGTGGAGGTGGTGGATTTCATTTTTTTATTTTTTATTTTTTTACTGTATTACTTTTACAGGCAGGTGTAGGTAGGGGCTTCATTTTAAATCTTTAATATTTCTACTTCATTTATCAGTTACTAATGAAAGAAATTTTCTTAACAATTTTTCTTTTTTAGATTTCAAATTTTAGTCCTTTACGTGGGAGGATAATTCGCTTATCATCAGCATTTTCAACCTTGTTCGTGGTGGAGGGCTTCGAGTAATATAAGTAAGTAATATAAGTAAGTAAAATAAAGGAAAAAATGTCATTTGAATCTTATCTCATCTGGATTTATTTCAGCCAGCAAGGTAGAATTATTTGCACACAAAAAAAAAAGCAAGACAGAATTGTATATAAACATAGGGAAAAATGTTTTTGCAGTTAATGCAGGTAAATTATCTGCATTTATTCCTAAAACGACGTCGTTTTAGTATTGGAATCTTAAAAAATTATAAATATAAAGGTTATTATAACCCTGGAATAAATTAAAATTATAAAAATACCATAATTTTCGCTCAAAACGACGTCGTATTAGACTTCCTGCAGATAACTTATATGCAGTAACTGCAGAAAAAGTAAACCCATAAACATATATGACAAAAATTATAGTTTAGATAAACTTATACATTTAATGCAGTTAGTCCCCCATGACTAATCTGACATGCCTCAATTTAACGTATAAGAAGTGTGCGGGATTAATCCAACATGAATCTGTATTAAATTAGAATTATGTCTAAAAGTATAATCTTGACGGAAAATATATTTTTTTTTTTAAATTTACATCAGTTTGGTCGAAAAGCTAAAATAATATTATAGATCAAATAAGATAACTTATCCTATTCTATGTACTTTTATTCCAAGTATCAAATGGGCTTTTGGTGGAAGTTGCAACCTCCGACTTTATAAAGTAATATTCAAAAAACAAAAAATAAATAGCAAAATCTCATGTTAAAGAAGCAATAAATTAATTAAAGGCAGATTACCAACAAAAAAATATAATTAAAGGATAATTATTTTATGCAAATTAGGTACATGTATTTTATTTTGGTGTTGTGTTTGAAAGAAGAAATAAAAAACTTTGACATAATTTCTTATATATAATATTTAAAATGTGAATATAATGTGATGAAGAGAAACTAAATAAAATACCGCGTAATACAATAACATAACTATATATAACAAAAACATTCGTATTGATTTTATGTTGTTATTTTCAACGGTGTAGAAGCAGTGAATACAAAGGTATTGCTCTCCTCTAAACATCACAACCTTGTTAAGCTACATGACAACTCCTACTGTAAATAGAAATATGGCCTAAAAATTGAAAGACCATCTTTTTACCATTTAAAAATTAAAACTAAACTCAAAACCTATCACATTCCTAGATTTATACATATACATATGGGTTTGCATTCATCATTTAATATGATCACAAAAAATTTTCTACACACACAACATTTTGTGAGACCTGTATGTTTTGAAGAAAAAAAAAGCTACGGCATGCAAAATGAATCTCTATAACATAATAATTATTTTTTTCTACAACATAACTCTTATAAAACCCTGGAGTTACTTTTCTGCGGAGAAAAATGTTTGCTTCTTGCATACACATATTTTTGTGAGGCCCGCTATTTCTTAAAAAAAATAAAATAAAAAGGACAGCTCAAAAGGGTGTACAAGAGATTGATTGTTTTCCTAGCTGCTGCTGTCATTCCAGTGAACAACATTGGATAGTGTTTCTTTCAAGCAATGCATTTCACTCACACATCAAACTATAGCAAAGCCAGCAGTGAACTCCAAGAATGTCATAACTTATATTTCTTGCAACCCCAAAAATCTCATTGACGAAGGCTCATTACATCAATAATCTTACACATCCTTATGTTCATATATTATATAAACATCCAAGAAGACTATTGTATAATATACAACAACATTGACTAAGCAGAGAATCAAGATGAAGATGAAATCCCACACTTCCTTCTTCTTAATGTTCATCTTTGCAACCTTTACCATCATAAAAGTTTGCTTAGCAGAATGTGATAACGTTCAAGACACTTGCCCCACAACTTTTCCCGAAAAGCAGAACATATTCATCAATGGCCTACCCTGCAAGAACCCATCTAACACTAGTGCTCAAGATTTCAAGACCATGGAATTAAGCAAAGCTGGTTCTAGAGATGAATTTGGTTCATCAATGAACATTGTTACTGCTTCAAAGTTTCCGGGGCTCAACACTCTTGGTCTCTCAATTGGTAGAACTGACATTGAAGTTGATGGGGTGGTAAACCTACATAATCATCCAAGGGCTACTGAGATGATCTTTGTCAATAAAGGTATATTGGTAGTTTCATTTCTTGATACACAAAACAAACTCTTCCAAAAGTCTCTAAAGGAAGGTGATGTGTTTGTGATCCCCAAAGGGTTGTTTCATTTCATTCTAAATCGTGGTTTAGAAGTTGCTACTTTGTTCTCTGTGTTCAGCTGCCAAAATCCTGGGGTGGGGTCCTTCAGGGCCACACCTTCTGACACCACATTGGAATCAGTTGAGAAGCTAAAGAGGAAGCTCGTATCACTTTCTGACTCAGAAGAACTTCATAGCATTAATGGTTTGAATTTGGAAGTGTTTGAGATGATTTATAGTTGGCCATTTTATAGTGTTGTATCATGATTCGTGACTTTCAAAATGCAGTTCTATGTGTTGCAGAGTGTATTGATATTTATGTTGCTATATGAATTTGTGGACTAGTGGGTAATGAATCATGGTGGAATATTTAAATGAATTTTAATTGATTTCAGTTGCCGTTAACATCAAAGTCGTTGTAGTATAGTGGTGAGTATTTCCGCCTGTCACGCGGACGACCCGGGTTCGATCCCCGGCAACGGCGAAATTTCTGGTTTTTGTTTTCTTTTTCTATTAAAAAGGGGCGTTATATAAATGAAGGCAATATGCAGAATATATTATTTTATTCATTTTGTTGCCATTTTATACTGCGTCTGAAGCTTCTATTGAACGTTTATGGGTAACTTACACTTTGCCCCAAAGTGATTCGATTGATTTGTTCCATTTTTAATTGTGATTTTTCTCATCTATTGTTACCGGGAAATGTATTCTTCTTTTCAACTGACACAATTTTGTGTCATTTTTATTAAAATTATGTTGTTTTGGTATATTTTTGCGTTCTCTTTCTTTTATTTTTATTTTTTCATAATTTTATAAAAAAAAATATCAAAAATGATATAATTTCATTAAAAATGACATAAAATTATATCATTTAAAATGATAAATACTTGATCCATTTTTATCATAAGAATATAAAATAGATATTAAAGTTTTTTTTTTTTAAAAAAAAAATCCTCATCGGTAATTTTCCTAAAATTTTCTGAGCAATCAAACATGATAAGGCGTGTAATCATTGATAAGATTAGGCAAATTATCACGATTAACACTTTTTAACAGGTAGCCATGAATCTCAACTCCGCGAATCAGAAGAAACCCGAAACTCTCAAAATATATAATATAAAAACGTTCCATAAATTTACATTTTGTTTGAATGTTTTCTCATTAATGGAATGAAATAGAATTTTTTTTGTTTTCTTTTTTGGTACGTAAACAGAAAAAAGTTAGGATGAGCTAGAAATGAACTTGTTAGTATTAAAAAAAAAATGAACTCGTTTGACAGATTTAACAAGAGAAAGGAATGAAACGGAAATTCGTTATATTGTTTGAAAGTTTAATTTAAAGGAATGAAAGTATGAAACGAAATATAAAATGCATTCCATTATAATTTTGGAGGAACAAAAAATTTGACATTTTAAGGAAGAGGAGGAATAATTACCCTTCGTTCCTTTTCATTTCTATCTTGTATTACACTCTCAAACAAGAAAGTTGGTTCCTTTTTACCCACGTTTCTTCTCATTCCCATCATCATAACTTGTCTTAAGAACAAAGTTCTTTTAAAATAAATTTATATATAAAAATAGAGAAAAATGTTTCCGCAGTTAATGCAGAGAAGTTATCTACATTTATTCCCAAAAGTATGTCGTTTTGGTATTAAAATCTTAAAAAATTATAAATATAAAGACTATTATAACCCTAAAATAAATTAAAATTACAAAAACACCATGATTTCCGTCCCAAAACGACGTCGTATTGGCTTATTGCAGATAACTTATCTGCAGTAACTGCAGAAAAAGCGAACCCAAAAAAATAACTTGTATCAATCACGATGCAATTTAATTTTCTTTTTTTTATAACAGTGAAGCACTTTAAATTAAATACATTCTTATTCACTTTAAATAATTTTTCTGTAAATTTACTTGCGAGATTATCGAATACCCGGAGAAAGTAGAAGGAAAATATTTTTCCTTTTTTAAACAACTCCAATATATTTCTACCGCTAAAAAATAGACGGGAAAATTAGAGTTGTTATGTGATAAGGAGCAAATCCTCGGAAGGAAAGTATTTCAATTTTGTATCACAAAAGTAAAGTTGTTTCGAGTTCATTTGCACCAGAAATATCTCTAATCTTCTGAATCATACACCCTATCTCAGAAATAGAAGTGGTCAATATGAGCTTATAAATAAGTATGACTAAAGGAGGCCTGATAAAATGAACAAATGTGTGAACTTGCTTAAAAAAATCAAAATTCGTCTTTAGATTAACTAAGGGATTGTAAATGAGCTGAATAAGTTTTCTTGAAAGGCTTAAGCCACTCACTAATCACTGTTATAGGAGGTGGAATGGAGAAACCACACTGTCATTTAATCTGGATTTTATTTTTATTTTTTTGTTCTTTACTTCTCTGTGCAAGCAAATTTAATACCAGTAATATTCTATTCTACATTCCATACGAAGTAAAATAAAATTCGGTTGGTATGTCTTTAATTTAGATGTCGTTTTCATTTTTTTAGTAACATTTGACAACCAACGTACTAATGCTAGCATCATTTTGTTTAGTCTTTCTATTTGCTTAGTAACATCAAGAACCATTCTCTTCAAAACATTTATTTTATCTATCAAATGTTCCTTAAGAGATAAAAGCCACAGCATGGTACTAATTCAATTGACAGATTACACAATCAAATGTATTATTAGTAATAAACATCCATTCACCCAGCCATTAAAGAAGGTAACTGGTGAATAAAAGATCAAAATATTTGTTCTATCAGGGTCAAAGCCCAGAGGTGCCATACAACTAGCTCCAGCTTGTTAAGCCTAATCTATCAGCAAGATTGTACATAACCAATTGATTCCAAACAGGACCCAAGAGGCGTTCCCCTCCAATGGCAAATGTTAGAGCCCAGGAACAGAGAAGCGCCGTGAATACAGTGAACCCAACTGCTGATCCGACAACATCTACACAAAGATATCCAATAAACTAAATCAACTAGAAAAGGTAGCGTGGCTATAAAAATATTAAAGAAACTAATTATATTTTAACAACTAAATTACTTAAAACATTTCAACATATTCAGCAATCCAACCATAACTCCAGACATGAGGCTACGCAGCTTTCTCAAGCCAATGTAATTGAAATCAACTATTATAAAAAGCACAAAGTCACTAACTTATCATTTATCAACTTTCAGATATAAAAAAGGGCATACGTTCCCAATACTTAATACATTAGTTCTACCCATTTTACTATCCCCTGCCCTCTCCCCTCTCCCCACTCCCCAGACATTAAAAAACAGATGGCTTAATTGCACTTTTGATCCCCCTATTATGGCTAATGCCCGATTATGGACTCTCAATAATCTTTTGCTCGAACTTAATCCCCTAATTTTTGATTGCTATAATCAACTCCTTTTGTTTGTTTTCCTCTACCTAAACCCTCCAAATCTTTATTTTCTACTCAAAATCTGCACAAAGTGAACCAATTAAACAGTTTTATACCCTCTTCTGCTTAGAACCCACCAATCAAAACATCAGATTTCATCCAAAATTAGGAAATTCCATTTTCCCCCCTTTGATCACAAAATCCTTCAAATTTCATCAAATTCCCACTAAGTTTTCAGATTCTAAACGATTCAAATCATTTCCTATCCCAAATTTTCCGTAAACTCCCAGTTATTTGAGTAGAAAATGAGGATTTAGAGGTTTTGTTTTTTTAGTTGATAGGATTCAGAGGATTTAGGTACAAAAGGACTTGCTTGTAGCAAATTATAAATTGGGAGATTAAATTCAAGCAAAAAATATTGCCATGGTAGAGGAATCAAGAGTGCAATTAAGCCAAAACATAAATACTTGAAGCAAAGAGTGCATAATAAGCTGTAAGGAATGGGGAAATGGAGGGGGTATGCACATTGTTCTTCCCTCAGCAATGAGAATTCAATAGCCATTTTACACAAGAAATTCTGCATGCTTATAAACATGACGCAAAATTTATTAATATGGTTTGAAATAACCATGGCATTTATTATCAGACAAATATGGAACATGATGCAAAAGGAATCTTTACCGTGTCAGTTTTTAATATAAACATTATCCTAAGCTTCCAGAAAATGATTGTCAAGCAACTACCTTCGCAACTACCCATTCCAAAATCCATAGTAGAAGCGAATAAAAAAAAAAAAAAAACTAAAATATGTGATATACTTGAAGATTACAATAATTCTGCAGACACCTAGTTTACTACTTAAACAACTTAACATTTCCCATACCATATTGCAAGATTGATAAAAGAAGAAGTTACTCATCAAAGAATCATTACCAAATTGGCCTCTCTAAACAAAGAATTGAAAATTTCACCAAGAAAAAAAAAAAAAACCCTATGAATTGCAAAGTAGTGAGAGTGAAAAAAGGGGAACAACATACAAGGGCGAATGCGAGGGAAGGAGTGGGAGTGGCGGAGGACGGGCCAGAAGTAGAAGCAATTGACGGCCCAAAGCAGAGGAAGAACTGCGAATCCGAATTTGTAGAACCTCCTCGCGTAGTTCACTGATTCTTCCTCCGACAGCCCCAAAGGCCCATCGATTGTGGGCCACACCGGCACCGATGACGATAGTGGATTGCGATTCGGGTTAGGGTTAGGGTTTGGATTCGGATTGTTGTTCGGTGACTGTGACGCCTCCATCACCACGATCTGCTCTGCCGTCGGATGAACGCTTCTACGCTAACCTAAGGCATTAGATGAAAAACATGGCTCTTGTCATGTCACTTTCAACTTCTTCTCTTTAATCTTGCTTTTCATTTCAGTTTGTGACCACTATACATATACACTAAATAGTTAATTAATTCCGATCTTCGACGTGTCATTCCTGACTCAGCTTCAATCCTCTTTTAAGATTAATTACTAACATTGACCAAAGTCTCACCGTTTCGCAATTTATTTCCTTAAATGTCATCTTAACAGTGCAATTTATCAGTCTGCCACGAGAAAACTAGGTATGATGATGTGTCACGTTTTTGGTGAACACGTAATTTGTTACTGACACAAGCGAACTCTGCAACATTAAATGTTGAGCCCCTCTCACCTGTCACATCAGCAAACTATGTCCAACGATTAGCAGGCTACACGCACCAAGTTCACTGTCCCCAGCAAATTTGGTGCAACAGCTAATTTTCATAGCTCTATATAACCACACCCGCTAATTTTCATAGCTCTATATGTCCAACGATTAGCAGGCTACACGCACCAAGTTCACTGTCCCCAGCAAATTTGGTGCAACAGCTAATTTTCATAGCTCTATATAACCACACCCGCTAATTTTCATAGCTCTATATAACCCCCCCCCCGGCCCGCCCGCGCAGAAACTCTCCCCCTGTCACTCTCACATTTTTCTTGCCTCTCTCTCCTCGTTTCAAATTTTTCTTTCTCTCTCATTTCATTTATCTCTCTTCATTTGAGGTTAGTAAATTATGGTTTAATTATTATTTTTACATCTTTTTATTGTTATTTAAATGTTGTTAATTATCATATATATGATGAAACATTAGGTTAGAAGACACAGTTATGAGTAAGCCATATGCATGTTAATGTTAGTAGTTTAATATTTTATATTAATGCTTTATTTAGTAATATGAATTGTTTGCTATTGTTTATAGGGTTTAAATTTAGGTTATAAATTTTTTATATTAATGTTGTTAAATTTATCATTAAATTATTTTTTTAATTATGCATTTATTAGTAATATTAATTGAATATTAATTGTGGCATATTATTTAATTAATGTTTTAATAAATTGTTTTATATGCATTATTTATTTATAGGGTTGAAATGTAGGTTAGATAATTTATATATTAATGTTGTTAAATTTTGTATTTAGTAATTTGTTGATTATGCAATAATTAATAATATTGATTTAAATAAAATTATTTAGTTCTAGGATTGAAAAATAGATTAGAAAATTTTGACATTGGCTTAGAATATGTATATTAACTTTATTAGGTGTAGTAATTTATATTAATGTATTATTTAATAATATTAAATGTTTCATATTATTTATAGGGTTTAAATCTAGGTTAGAAAATATATATTTTAATGTTGTTAAATTTTGTAATTAATAAATTATTTATTATGCAATAATTAATATATTTGAATTAAATAACATTATTTAGTTATAGGATTGAAAAATAGGTCAGCAAATTTGTGACATTAATCTTTGTATTTATTTATTTATTTATTAGTAATTAGTATTTATTTTTTTATATTATATAATTTTTGTATAATATAATATATTTCTTAGTAATTAGTATTTACTTTTTATATATTATATTAAATAAAAATATTCATTTATTTATTTCTTAGTAACCCTGATTTATTTTTTATGTATTATATAATTTTTGTATAAAATTATATATTACTGTATTTTATAATTTAGTATATTTATATAATTTTTTTATAACACAATTAATCTTGTTAAACTATTGTATTTTATAATTTTTTATTATGCACTTGTTATTACTAATAATCAAATAACATTCTTTTGTTATTACTAATAATCTAATTATTTATTATTTATTTTATAATATAATATATTATATAATTTTTGTATAAAACAATTAATCATGTTAAATTATTGTATTTTATAATTTTTTATTATGCACTTGTTATTACTAATAATGAGATAACATTCTTTTGTTATTACTAATAATCTAATAATCAAATTATTTATTATTTATTATATAATATTGAATTATTTATGGATTATAGATTAATTAAATAATGTTTGATATTTATTCATTTCTTAGTAATTAGTATTTAATTTTTAATTTTTAATTTATTATATAATGTTTTAATTGTAATATGTTACTTTATTTGTAAATAGATCCATGGAGCATCAAGACCCGCACCAGACGTTCATTGACCCCGGGTCCTTCGGAGCGTTCTCTCCTGACGTTGCAGAAGAAACATATTTCCACGCATGTGTGGAACACGTCGGACGACCCAGCGGTACGTGATCGTGTCCTAAATGACGCATATATTATTGATACATGCATTTGGATTTAGTTTATGTTGATGATTAAGAAATATCGAGACAGTATTTCCACAAACATTTCACAAGCTGAAACTACAAAGTTACAAAACGAACAAGGCTTCAAAGAAGGTTTTAACATGATAATTTAAATGAAAAACAAAGTTCACGCATAAGTAAATACATGATGACAAACAAGTAACAACAAGCAAATGATTGACATTAACAAGTACCAAACAACAACCTAAATCACACGATAACGGAAGTGCTTATGAGCCTTGCTGTCGAGATGGACAACGACGCCTGTCATGGCCAACAACTCTACAATAACCACATCTTGTGCAAGGAGTTACGCTTTCATGTTGATCCATCTCATTACGGATGTAGGTACTTTGTGGCCTGCCTTTTTTACGTCTCAGTGAAACATCTTGGCTTAGTGGTATACAATCTTCATTGCCAATTGGGTACCATTGTCCAGAATATACCTGACATTGATATGATGCTGAATATGCTACATCAATATACTGTAAGGGGTCATGGTTAACTGATTTGCATGCTGCAATTACATGACTACACGGGTGCCTCAAAGCAGTGAACTCACCACACTGGCATGCCCGATCAGCTAAAGAAACCCACCATTTCTTTCCGCCTCTGTGAGTTCTTTGATTATAAGACTCTTGAACTTCAAACCAGTGTGTTGCAGCTTTATGTTGGCAATCAACATATTTTACCCAAAAAAAATTTGTGCAACGATTACCTCTGTCCAGCTCCTCCGGAGCCTCTTATCCATGTGTTCTTGTTAGTATATGGGTGTCCTAGAGACAATCTTTTTTATTAAATAAGGACATAAGATGTAGACCTTTTTGTCGCAAATTAATAATAAGCACTCTTTATCCTGTTTCATATTTATTCTCGATATTATTGTTAATATATTATGAATAAACTGGATAAACCCCTTGGAATAAAATAGGTATCTCTTAAGTATCTGTGATGAGATCACGATCATGAGGATTTAAGGATACCAGATGTTTATTCCTAATTTTATGTTCCTAGTCTAGAGACACAGAGAATGGGGATCAGTGATCTCGCGTAAGACTAGCACGACTTATCTACTTGTATTCGGATGCAAGGTAAAGATCTCATGAGCTACAGATATAGAGATGTCTTAGCTAAAGTCTTGGGTGGACCTATAAGGGTATAGCTCGCACAGAACAGACCCACAAAGAGACTCTATGAGAAAATCTCACAGAGAGTATCATTAGAGTAGTCTCTTTACATTTGGGTATGTATTTCCTTAGACCAGAAGTTATTACCTAGACTGTGTTCTAGAAGACATGCTTTGACTGTATACCTCGTCTGCGTGAAACATGGAGACTCATAGGTATACTGTTGAGCTTGTCCTGAAAGAGCACAGGGCTAGGGTGATAAGCTGAAGGAATTCGTCAAATCTTTGTGAGAGATTATGTTATCTGTAAATCGGAGAAATCGGGATGAAATTTACAGGGACTCGGAAATCTATGCATAGTAAAAGAGATCATGAGATGATCTGCCTTTAGAGTCAGTAAATTCAAGATTCCCTATTTCGAATAAAGCTTACCCTAAACCGCAAGGGTTGATACGTTTCCTTACCCTAGGTTTAATGGGAAGGTAATCGAGACGAAAGGAAATATATACGGCAACCAAATATGTGTAATAGGATGATCAAGTCATTAATCTAACTAGCTCTGGGGCAACAAAGCATTGCTAATGCTCTGTGTTGTCATTAGATGGATTGTGGGCTTATTGGGCCCAAGCCCATTTATGTCAGTGGCTATGTTGGACCTAATGGGACACACACTAACACCTTATTATCATGATGATCTAGCATTAAAGGTATTGGGCCTAATAATGGTTGTTAGCCCAAGATGAAGTTTGGAAGCCCACCTAAGAGGGAGAGGGCGCATGGTATGGTTAATGGGCTTGGATGGTCCAAGACATTACTAATTAATTTAATTGATTAAATTAATTATCAAATATTTAAATTTTGAATTTTGAATTTGAAATTTGAATTTTGAATTTGAATTTTGAAATTCGAATTTTGAATTTGAAATTTGAATTTTGAAATTTGAAATTTGAAATTTGAATTTGAATTTGAAATTTGAATTTGAATTTAGAATTTAAATGTTTGAATATTTGAATTTAAATGTTTGAATTCGAATTTGAATTGGCTATGAAAAGTTGTTTCATAACAAAAGGATAAGATGAGATCTTGTTGGAACAAATTTCTTGTATCAAGAGAAGATCTATGGAGATCTCCAAAGGCTGATTTGGGGCGCCACTTTGGTTGGAGATGAGTGTCATCTTTTTCAAACAAACAACCTCCAATCAGATTTGGTTGTTGAGAGAATCAGTAACCTAGTTGGTTCAAACTTGAATGCAACAGCTCAAAGTATCTGGACCCCTTTTGGGGTTGAATGGGGCGCATGAATAGGATGGTCATATGATGACCATTAGTTCAGAATCTTGACTAGGTAGAGACCTAGTCTCATGAGGATTCAAAGGTAGGTTGTTGGGACTTTTGAATTGCAAACAACTCCACATTTCTCTCCTCTCTTGTGCGCCACCTACATCATGGATTTAAGTGAAAAATCTGATTTGATTAATTAAATCTCTCACTCTCTTGTGCGCATACTAGGGGTAAGTTCTCCTAAAGGTTTTTAGAAAAAGATCTAGCCAATTCTATTCCAATCCATTCTCACTCTTGTGAAGTTTTCATGCTGAAGACTTCACTCTTCTAAACACATTTATCTAGCCTCCTTCTTCACCTATTAAGCGCATAG